GCGCCGTTATATTGTCAACGGAGACACCCAAAACAATAACAAAACAGTTTGGGCTGTTTGATATGGAAATAAACATATGAGTCAATAGCTTATCATATCAAGTTATTTTATCAAAACTGCAGAGGAGTGGAATTAAATACAAAAAATCATCAGTTGTAAGCATTTTCAAAGCTTTTCAAAGGTTCATTAGATTATAAACTGTGAAAGTTGACTGCTTGCGTATTAATGTTATAGTTTAAATTATATGATGTATCGCGAAAGTAACTTCATTTCATATAATTTAGATAAACGAAGCAAGGTAAATAATATGTAAACTCAACGACAGCAAGAATATAAAATATAACTTTAATTGGGTTAGTAGTAGTAGCTTATCAACTTGTAACAATGTGCTGTAAATACGGGCAATTGGTAACTGTTAAAAAACAAGCAATAAATTTTGAGAAAAACCTTTAAAAATGAGTATAGTGGCGTGTAATTTTGTTGCGGCTTTACACTACTTCGTTAGTGTTTCCAACTGATAATGTGTTGCAAGAGTCGCAGTTAGTTTTCCGGCACAGCTGCTAGAAGGTAGCATGTTTTTTTCTCTGTACACAAAACAGTTGCAATCGTAACGCGTGCTTGTCATACCGAATTAAGTGTCACGTAGTTGTTTTACCAGCTGAGTGACAGCGTGCGCAACTGAGTACCCGTTTCTCGGAGTACGCCAGTCAACCATTCTGTTCATAGTACTTCTGGTTTTTGCCTCATCGTTTTCTAACGACAGGTTTAACTTGCGCACTACCATCTAAGTGAGAGCGGTTAGCACTATTGCGCCACCTGCCGATGGAGCGCGCTTCCGATTCCAATAGAAAATTACACAATGCAATGCGCAGTCATGATAGATATCTAAATGCTTCTTTAACATATAGACACAGTTTAAAGTGCATGCAATACGATATACATATACTACTCTTTTTAATTGCGCAATGAAATATTTCATATTTATAGTGTACTTAATTAAAAATAGATACGGTTATAAATTTTATTTATGGTATTTTAAAAAGCTTTCAATAGTGCAAAGATTTATAGTTAAACAATATTTAAACATGAACATATGCATGAAATATGCAAATACATGCGCCGTTATATATATATGTATGTATGTATGTACATACATATACATATATGTATATATATTTTCAAATTTTTGGAAAGTTTTATACATTTACAGATGTATGTACATATGTATAGTTAAACAATATTTACAATTGAACATATTTATTTAGAATATTTCATACAAAATAAATTTGAAAAAAAAAAAAATTTAATATAAAGTATTAGTTCCTCATATTTTCTATTTTATAATTCAACGCTTCAACACACCATTATACACCTAAATAGCTTAAAAAATGAGTTAAACGTTGTTGTTGTTATTGTTGTAGCGGCATAAAAACTTCCTGAAGTAATTTCGAGGTATGGTGCCGATTTCACAGTTCTTGGTTGAATAAAAATCCGGGTTCTTCCGGTTACACAGATCCGACCGTCGTCAAGCGTGAATGAGTTAATGGTTAAATCTTATTTATATGCGCTGCGTAAATGATAATGATTGATTTCTATAGAACTTATCGATCAAAATTAATATAGAAAATTTTTTATATAATAGAGTATTATAACTTCAGTGAAGCAGAACTTTAGCATACTTTTAGGGTTGTTTTGAAATTTCAGACCATCACAAAGGATTTGCTTATGGCGTAAGAGAGTATAAAAATATCTCTATATTCATTTTGATCGATCGGTTTCAAGGTTGCTAGATGCTATAATGGTCCGACTAGAACAATTGCGCGGGTAATGATGGCGTGCGAGCACAATACATGTTAACTCTGTTTGTTATTCGAACATTGCATACTTTTAGGGTTATATTGAAATTACTAACCCTGAACCTCAGGATTTTAATAAAATACCGGTATTTTTTAAATGAAATGAACTCAGTCCATAGTAAGACCAAATGTTGAGAAATTCATACCATAATTTTAGGGTTATACTGAAATTTCTAACCCTGTATCTCAGGATTTTAGTAAAATGCCGGGCTTTTTGAAATTAGTGCCAATATTCATAGCATACTTTTAGGATTATAATTTTCTAATTTTAATTGTGAACCTCAGAATTTTAATAAATATCATATTGAAAAAATAACCATTTTCCTTTCACCTTTTTAAGAAGTAAGCTAAATCCCATCGCCTGAAGGGCCTTTGACCTGCGCCTTCAGCAAAAGCGACAGTTGGCGCAAGATGATAGGTCCATGTTAGATAAATGCCTTTTCAAGTTGCAGTGGCCGATGTAAAATGCGACCAGAAGCCAAAGTTTGTCTCTTGAGAGGTTTATTATCGATTTGAACCTCTTCTGGTTATACCTCCCAACTAGCAGCTTGGCGTGTCGCATAACATGCGCTCGCTGCCAATGCCTTTCCCTACACACTCTTTCTTCTTTGCGGAGCAGCTCCTTCACAGTATGGAGACCCAACCCAGTGAACGGTTCGGGCCCAACCATATTAGTGGAGTCTGCAGAGCAGGCAAGCTCGTCAGCCAGTTCGTTGCCGGCTATACTCTTGTGACCAGGCACCCAGATCAGGTGCACCTGGTTCTTTTCAGCTAGGTTATTCAGCCGTTCTCTACACTCCTGCACTAGTAGCGATCGCTTTTAGTGCCGCTTGACTATCGCTAAGTATAGCTATTCGCTCATTGCAATAGTTGCGGTGGAAGTTTATCTCTATACACCGACTTATGGCCAAGACTTCGGCCTGAAAAATGCTCGGAAAGCTTCCCATCGGTATGGAGAACTTGGTACGTGGACCTGCGATATCTGCACCGATAACTTCCGACGTTTTTGAGCCGTCGGTGTACCACTTCAATGTGATATCTCTAAGCAGTTGCTCAAGAGTGGGGTCGTTCCACTCACTCTTGCTACCGAGGGTAACCTTAAACTTCTTCGTGGAGTTAATTGTTTTGGTAATACCGTCCTTCGGGAGGAGGACAATTGGAATGTTGCCACTTATCATCTCCATACTTTGGGACGGTACTACCTTGCCTTTGCCACATCCCTCTGCTGTTATCTGCAGAAGTGAGTGCTTGGCTACTTGACCTATCAATATATGAAGCGGTGTGAGTTCCAGCAGGACCTCCAGAACTGCCGTCGGGCAGGTTTGCATAGCGCACGTCATGCATACACATGCTAGCCGCTGAAGCTTCGAGAATTGGGTTAGTACCGAAGTCTGCGACTCTATGGAGGCCCAGGACACCGCCCCGTATGTAATTATCGGTCGCACAATCATGGTGTACAGCCACCAAACGATCCTTGGCTTACACCCCAGGATTTTGCCCGCTAGCCGTTTGCACACCATTAATGCTTTTGTTGCTTTGACTAACGTTTGGTTCACATGCTGCTTCCACGGCAGGTTAGAATTTAGCGTAAGACCAAGGTATTTAACCTTGCTAGTCATCTCGATCTCTCTGCCCCAAGTGTGAGATTCCTGAGGCCGAGTACAAACCTGCGCCTCGTAAAAGGGACTACGGTCGTCTTTGAGGGGTTGATATCTAATTCAACTCCCCGGCAACACCCCTTTGCCAGATTTAGACCTCGTTGACTAGGTCACAGAGAGTATCCTCAAATTTGCCTCTTGCTATAATCACAATGTCGTACGCATACCCTTGGCAGCGGAACCCATTGTCGGTTAGCAGTGCCGGTTGGTCCACTACAAGTCTCCATAGCAGTGGTTATAGCACACCTCCCTGTGGGCAGCCTCTTGTTGCGCCCACACGAATCTTTGTACCACCTACTGTGGTCTCGGCGATCTTGGTGCGCAGCACGGCCTCTATCCATCTACGCACCGGCGCTGCCACATTCCTGCCCTGGCTACACTCCTGTGAGATGTGTTGTCAAAGGCAGCTTCTATGTCTAAGAAGGCACATATCATCACTTCCCCTTTCTCCAGTGAACTCTCTATCTCAGAGGTCAGCTGGTACAGAGCCGTACTAGTGGATCTTCCCGCTCTGTATGCATGCTGAGCAGCATACAGGAGTGCAGTCTTCAGCGCCTTCGACCTTATATCATGATCTATGATCTTTTCCATAGTCTTAAGTAGGAAGGAGGTTAGACTAATTGGCCTAAAAGATTTAAAGATTTTCAAAACTAAATTCATTTCAACGTAGAAATCTTTTAATTTCTCTTAGTTCTACCTTCAGCATTAAATTTCACTTGCAACACACCGTAACACTACTCTGTGAAAAGGAAGTACTTTAAACACAAAACGTGATCAGCATTGCAATTGAGTTTCTTATTGCACTAAAATAGGAAGGGTCGCCAAAATATTTTCCATAACTACCAATATCACTGCTACTATATGCTTATTAGTAATACAAACACATACACATATATGTTTGTACTCAACTGAGATTTTAAATAGACAAATACACACTGTGACTCTCTTACTTAAATGAAATATTCAAAAAAAGAAAAATTAAAAACAACAATTGTTTTCAGAAAAAAATTGCCAAGCCTTCAACTTCAGAATTCTGTTGTTGATTCAAAAAAGCTAGTGGGAGCGTGCGAGAGCGCCAACAAAATTTCACTACCGTTGCTTCAAGACAATATCGGTTAGCACTTACCTGTTAGTTGTTGTTGTTGTGATGTTAACATTTTACTGTTAGCGCGCGCTCTCAACGCTTTAGCTCGGCTGGTTATATTTGTTGGTAGCCGCTATGTAAACGCTGACTTTGTTGTTGCGTGTTGTTACCACTGCCGGCATGCCACTACAGGAGCTACCTCACTAGTTGTTAGTTTGTACGCCGTTAACAGTATTGTATTGAAAACATTATTAGCAGCAGCAACAGCAACAGCAATGCCACTACCAACACCAATACTTGGAACACTGGCTTTTGCTTTGCCATTGTTCTCACCTGCTGTCGATCGTCATCTCCGTCGACCATTGCTTTTCAGTTTGTTATTGTTGGCTCATCGCTTTGGTTGTCTGCTTGTCTCTAGCGGGTGACTAAAAAACAAAACCGCCGATCGACCGATATATACATACATACATACAACAAAGCCAAAGCAGTCAACGACAACGGCAACCAACCACCAGGCGTTCGTTCGGAACTTGCATGCATTTACCGTGCTACGCGCTTGCCTACCGTTTGCCAGTCGCTCTCACATTTCGTGTAAACTCAGTCGCGGTGTGTGCGCGTGTTGTGTGCTCCTGCTGCCTCGTCTAATAACAACTCAAATTGTGTTTTGATTACGAATTCTTTTGGTGTTCATATTCTATTTCATCGACATACATACACACATATGTATATATAGTGTAACTATAGCGAGTATTGTGCCACCATTATTTTATTATTAAACTTTTTTTTCGCTGTCGGCTTTCCATTTGGCCCAACACCTCGTCTGGTGCGGTTCGACATTTGTCTAAGCGCAATATTCCCGTTTATATTTGTACTAGAAACGCGGCTGTGTAAATGTGTGTGTGTGTTTATGCGCCTCAGCGCATTATAGTTTAGTTCAGCTCAGTTACGCTGAGCTCAGCTTTTTCTATTACGTTTTTTGTTTTTTTTTTTTTTTGCATTTACTATCAAAACTTTTTCAGTTAGTACCAGTCTAAACATATACTTTGTATATGCAGCTTTATTATTGCTGGCTACTGTCCATCGAAGCGCTACGCGCGTTCTGCCTCGCTTTTGCCATTGAATGTTAGCAGTGCTGCAGTGCGGTATTTTAGACTTTAATTATTTTTATTTTCGAATAACGCGCGCGCGTGTGTGTGTGTTTTATTTTGACTTGCATTGCATTTTTGACACCGCTGAGCAAGCCAAGTTTATAACGCAGCGGTTTTTAGTTTCATGAACGGCCTAAACAACAACCAACCAAACAACAGCAACAACAATATACAATAAAATAACCGTACATGCGTACATATGAATGTCTGTAAATGTTTCAATCAACTCAGCTGGCTCGCTGGCTGGCTGACCAACAAAGCCAATGCTACCATGCGCGCTTGGACGTTGTTTGCATAAACTGTGTCGCGCCAGCGTTTTGCCAAGAACCGTACGTGGCGGAATTATTGTACTTTACATACATATGTACTAACTACATACATACAAACATGCATCGCGCACAACGGTTACAGCCACATCACATCACATGCTCGCCGTGTGCTCGTGTAATTGTTGCTTTGGAACGCGGTTCTGGCCGTGATTTGGTGGCACTGCGTCGGCAATGTACTACTGACACTGCCATTACCGCTGCCGCACCCTAAATACAGACTACTAAAAAGCAATGAGCAATATGCCACACTGTGATTGCGAACCGTTTGTCGGAAACTAAAAAAAAAAAAAACAGAAAAACAACGAAACTTAAAAAGTATCATTAAAAACGTGAAAAAAGTCGAAGAAAATAAAGAGGAAATCTTAACACACCTTTAGCTGTTATATTTTTTTCATCAGCTACGCTTTTCTGAGTCATTACAGCAATGCGCGCTTGTAATTGTGGAAGAATAGAAATTAAGTGCACCGAAAATAATACAATAAATAAACAAAAAAACAAAAAATGTTGAAAAATTTATTAAATTACGTTCAACGATAAATTATAATTAAAGCAAATTCTTCAAAAATATGTAAACTTAAAATAAACATTAATATTAATGACAAAAAAATATTAGAAAAAAAAAATGAATCATTAATAATAATGGAAAAAAACATTAGAAAACAAACTAGTTTACAAAGAACATCAATAAATTACATAAAAAACCAAATAGTGTCGTTTAAGGAGCTTCTCTACCTTCGCGCTAAATTTTCGGACATAATTTTGACGATGAATTGGTGTTATGATATTTGCAATTTTTTTTTTTTTCATTAATAAACTCGTAAACTAAACTTGGATATTAAGACTTTTTAATCTTTTTTTGAACACTCGCCACTCGTCCCTTTTTACCACAGATTTCAGAACCTTGAAAACAAAGAAAATGTACATAATATCGGACCCCAATGGTATAAAAGTATCTAGACACCAACTTTTTTAGAGATTTGCGAATCATACAAAATGGCAGCGATTTAAAAAAGTACCAGTTAGCCATCAACTTCAATAAATGGTGTTTTAAATTAAATAATTAAGTTTAAAATTTATTTAAAGCATACAATTAATTGTAAAGATATAAAAATTAATACTAAATGAATAGAGATAACTTCTAAAAATAGTTATTAGAAAAAAAAAATTAAATAAAAA